GAATGAATGAATGAATGAATGAATGAATGAATGAATTAATGAATGAATGAATGAATGAATTAATTAATTAATTAATGAACCAGAAGAGGTAGGGAGTGAGGAATTGTTGGTCTTTCCAAATGCTGCCCCCTTGTTGAATCTGTTCTTCTGAAATGCTTGATTATGCTGCTTGCAATTGTTCTGATGGTTGTAAAATAGACAGGCAATACTTTGGTGTGGTCACATTACAGAGAGTGATCTTGCTTAGCGGAGCATTTCACCCTTTTTGTATAATGAGAAAGGAAAGGAGAATGGTTGCCTTTCTGGTTTGACAAAAAGGAGGTGACTATATAAGATGGAATGAGGGTTGCAATTTGATCTCATGCTGACATGGACAGGTCCCTTGCAAGTCTGGATGGGATAACACAAATCCTGAATGGGAAAAAATGCAGCTGGAACAACTTCTTTATATACAGCCTTTTAGAGTCAGCTAAATACCTCTGCCAGCATCCTCAGCAAACTTTGCTGAAAACTATAATGGTGGGCTGATTTATCCTCAGTGACATTTTGGCTCTCGTAACAAGCTCACTATCTTGTAAACAAGTCTAGTTGATTTCAGTAGAATTTACCCAAGCTCACAGGCTGACATACAGTGGCTTGTACTTGCAAGCTTTCAGTGTTGTTCCATGTGTTTTTGCGTGGGTGAATGGTAGGACCTTGTTTCTTCATTTCTTGCTCTGCCAAAAGCACCAATGTTATCAGTGAAAAGCTGTAGCAGTTCTTACCTTCCCTGGAGCTATATTGTCTTTCTCTGCAATACTGCTCCATGTTCTTCAACAATAGGGAGGAATCAACCTCTGGACAATAAAGATGGTAGAAGGAGAATTCAGTCAGGGAAGCCAGAAAAAGCTAGAGTTGCACACTGGTTCCAGTCAAACGTTTGGTATTACAGCTCCTAAAATATCTTGCTATTGGGCCTGTTGGCCTGGGTTAATGGGAGCTGAAATCCATCTGATCATGATTAGTGTGCTAACTTCATATATGCACCAATTAATCATTAGACCATTGGCATGTGGGGCCACTATGAGTTGTGAAAATGCTTTCAGGTTATGAGCATGTAATATGGAAAGTGTATGACTTGGATATGGAAGCTCATCTCCTGGTGTATTTAGGATCCTCTTTATGAGATTTCTACTGGATCAATGTTCTGTATCAGCAGCCTTTTTGATTCTGCTGAATAATTCAGACTAAACCTCCTGCAAATTCTGTTGAAAGCAATTTAATTTACATAAAAGAGCTGTTGAGAATTTGACAGTAAAGTCCAAGTTAGGATATAACATCTTTTAAAATGTCCCTCTATTTATTTCCATAAAGGGAATCCTCAGGTCTTGCTAACTATAGTACGAAGATGCCTCACTAAATATTTTTAAAGGACATATTCCTATATGGTTACCTTTGTCTCACCCCCAGCCCACCATGGAGACAGTCATATTTAGCTATTCCAATTTAAAAGTAGTGTTTTCCATCTTTTCCCAACATAAGTCCTGCCCTACAAATGATTGATAATGACGCTTCCTTGATAATGCTTGTGATAAAGGAGCTGGGATCTGCTCCATTCTTATAGATCACTTTGGACTGCTCCCTCCCCCTCCTCTTTAATCCTTGGGTTCTGTTTTTCAGCATCATTCTGCTTTTGTCAGCTGGAGAGTCTGCGTTCTTTTAAACCAGGCTCTCCCCTTGTATTTGCCATGTCTACACTAACAAGGAACCTTTAGCAGTACATCCTACCCTGTTTAGAACATCTCAGCTGTCAGTCAAACTTGCCTATCATCTACAGTGCCCCCATTGTTTGAGCCCAGGCTGGACAGGAGAGTGAATCATCTCTCTATCTGAAAATTCCCAAGGTGTGATTAGCTTCTCCTACATTCTCTAGTTGATAGGAAGTCAAGGAATTTAGGTTAGGTTTAGCTGGGCATCTGAGTCCTCCTCCCATGATCCATAAATTGTAGTCTCTTGTATACAATTTCTCAGCAGCAATCACTATTTTTTAAAACTTCACATGCTCCCTGTCCCTGTTCTCATCCTGTACCTCCAAAGGAGCAGGTTGGTCAAGAAGGATACCCAAGAAACTACTGACAACTATAGGGGACAGGGATAGTTTAAGATGGAGGTTTTCCACTACACTGTGCAACCATCTTTTCAGTTGTCTGCTGTTTGGGGTCTCTTTTTTGACATGGATATAGAGTTCCAGAATACCACTAACTTTGGAATAAAATTGTTCCAGGATTCTATTCCAGAATAGCATTATTCCATGCACAAAACCAGAGCAAGATTTGATGGATGGCTAAACCCGCTGGTGTAGCCATTTGTTAAAATGTACCTACTCTCCACCCCCAGCCTCATGCTTTATTAAAGAAAGTCATTGATGATTTTTTTCCCCCCTGTGAGCTGGTGAAGTTTGGTAGAGGGGGAAATTCAGTCTGGGGAATCCACCAATCACTTTCCCTAACATGACCCACATTAAAACAGTAAGGACAGCATCACTCTGTGACTTTATTATTAAAATAGAATAGGGATCGGCAATCAGTACAGTATAATTCATGTTGGTGTACTTTTCTCCTAACTCAAGGATGGGAGAAATGTGAATTAACTTGACTGTGAGGAAGACCCCACTATCACCCACAATGAGGTGTCATATTTATAATACCTGAATTAACAAAGGTGATTTAATCTGGGTTTTTCTTGGGGTTTTAGATGCTGATGCTCTCGTAATGGGGGCCCCTGGAGCACCAATGGATGTGAAATGCTGTGATGCCAACAGAGATTATGTTATTGTTCGTTGGAAACCACCAAATACAACCCATGAAGCTCCAGTTATTGGATATTTTGTGGACAGGTATATGTGGAAGGAATAGTATTTGACTCTTCCGTATTTCAAATAGATTATCAGTGCTCAAGAGATCCAGTTTCTGAATCTGATATAGGTTTTGCTTTCTGTGGTAAATTAGTATACTATTGTTCAAGTCTTATTTCAATGGAATTTGTGTCCTTTTGTGGTTTTTCCACAAGTTACAAATCTCCAGCTCAGCCCAGAACTCTTTGAATGGGTTCACACACCCATGAAGATCTTTTAATTACTCAATATGTGATAAATTAGCGCTGGAAAAAAGAATAATTCCGTTGAAGAAACTTTTGGCAGAGATGGCCTGAGATGTGTGTTATGGCTACATAATAAAAATAAATAAATAAAGGACTGTCCTTTATAATAAAAGACGTATGTCCTTTATTTCAGAAAGTTGTCCTTTAGATTTTTTTTATTTTTCAAAAACTCACTTTTGTCCTTAATTTTGGTCATTTCACTTTGATCATACAAATGGTACCGCTTAGTGCACAGCTCTTCATATTCATGTGAAAAATATGGAAATTAAATTGTCTTTTTAAAATAAATTTACATATACTGTTTGATTTTAGATACTGTTATTAGAATATACATTTTTGAAAAGTTCTTCTTGGTTTTGCTGTTGAATTTTCCTTTGTAAAGCAAAGTTATAACCATAATTAAAAATTTTTATCCTTATGAATCTCTTTCAGATTTGCCCCCTTTTCAGGTTTGTCCTTTATTTTTTCCAAGAAAATATGGCACATGCATGATCTACACTACACATTCCGACATGCAAGTTGCTACCTGGTGATCACAGTTACCAAGTGATTGACATACACGTGTGAATCATTTGGTTCCTCACTTCTTGGTTTCCTACTCATTAGGTTGATATGTTAATTTCCCTTTTTACTAGGTGATAGTGGAATCCTATTTGCCACCCAATGTTTGATGTTCCAACCCTCATTAACTTCACTTCATGAATGTGTATCCAATGAGCCTGCTAAAGATATGTGTGAGGAGCTTTTCACATGATTTGTCCATTCCAAGAAATCTGATAGGTCAAATTGTCAAATATTCTTGACTCGCATTCACTCCCTGGGAAATACCTCATGTTCAATTTACATAACAGTGGCCCTGCTGGCTCAGGTCAACCAAATGCTGGAGGGGGCGAGTGGGAAGTGGAAATATACCCCTCTTTTGCCATTACTTCCCTGCCACTGTTATTTCAAGGCACACAATCCTCCACCTTGACTCTCAAGAGTAACAGCCCTTGACAGACCTATCATCCATTAAATTATCCAATTCCCCTTAAATGCTTTAACATCTTTATGAGTAGGAACATCCAAAGCAATGGTCACTGGCTTTAAAATGACGGGGTTGTGAACATAAAAAGAAGCAGGTCCACGATTGCCTGGTTGTGCCCACCATTTTGAAGCCAATTAACATTATTGTGGATGCTCCTGTACATAAGATACGCACTATAACTTCAAGGTCTTTTTCCTAGTTAGTTACAGATAGCTTATACCTCATCTGTGTATACATATGAAGTTACAATATTTTGTCCTAATATCCATTACTTTATACTTACTTAATTTTAACTATATTTAGCATCTGGTTCACCAGTCACCGTTTAAAGAAATCTTTCTCACAGCTTAAGTGGCTTGTTAGGAAATCTTGGAAATGAAGATTTCATTTCCATCCTTCTGTCCTTTTTAAAACCAGATGTGAAGTGGGTACTGAAAACTGGGTGCAATGCAATGATGTCCCTGTAAAAATCTGCAAATATCCAGTGACTGGCTTATTGGAAGGGCATTCCTACATTTTCCGAGTGAGAGCTGTCAACCAGGCTGGGATCAGTCGGCCCTCAAGAATCTCTGATGCGGTAGCAGCTCTTGACCCCGGGGACTTGGAGAGTCTACAGAGTAAGAAAAAAAACTTTGCCATATTTCTTCAGTGGAAATTATAAGCACTCTTATGAAGGAGGAATCTTGGTACTAAATGAGTGGGGCAGGTTAAATTTCATTTCCAAGCTGGCCATAAATCAGGCTTGCAAGCTTACTTATGGCTACTTGAAGTGAGTATTACGATTTCAGCCAATATATATGCTCCCTCAAACAGGAAGGTCCCATTGTGAACTAGTATAGCTAATAGCTTTCCTCAGTTGTCCCACTCTCTATATAATGGCCCAGCTCTTTGATATGTAAATAAGTATGGAAAAGATTCCACTGGTAAATCATCTAATGCCTAAAATGTTGTTCATTTTTGTCCTGAGGGACAGTGATTTCTGGTCAGACCATTAATTTGTTCAATTTAAAAGTGCGATCTTTTAAGTGTTTGTTAACTTTTGGCATAGATACAGCACTCATCCGAATTAATAACATCAGATGGCTAGAGCTACCGACATGTAACTGTGCATAATGTTGCTGATATAAAAATCCATAATAGTGAGTAGCAATCAAATACTATAAAGAGGATGATTTAATATAATTTTCAGAAGGCATTCTATTAGCACAGAAACTTAAATATAAACAATATTTTCTTTCATCTTCAGATATTCACATGGAGGGAGGCAGGGACATTTTACTTCATCATGATGACTTTGAAGGTATGTAACTTGTACAGAGGCTAGATTATAGACATCCTCAACAGTGTACCTCTGTTGCAGTTACTTACTGTATGTTTCATTTGTCTTCTGGCTGACATTCAGTTTTCCTTTGCCCTTCTTTTTCTGGCTATACTCTCCTTTCCTTAGGCATTTAAGATAGAACTAAACATGTCCATGTCTCTTATTATTGTACAATCTAGTAGGCAGAGAACTTGAGAACTTAAGGTAATACGTTCTTGAGTGATTACAGTTTTGCGTCCTGGGAAACAACTGCATTTTCATTTTGTGTATGTAAGCATTGTGCATGTTTGCATTATGAAGGTATACCCCTATTGCTACTTTAATTTTTCTGGTTTTCCACCAGAATCTTGGGAACTGTAATTTGTTGAAGTGCTTTAGAGTTTAAAGCACAGTAAATCAAGGCTGCTGATGCAGTTTAAGACTACAGCATAAATATATTTTAGCATCTGGCTTTCCAGAGCAGAAACACCTTTTTGCTCCTTAGAATATGGAACCTAGAGAGCTAGAAAAAGGCTAGTTTCATCATCACAGCACTTATTTTTTTCCCCATATCTAAATTGCAATGCAAAATGTATATGTACAATGTGATAAATTGCAGAGAGACTTCTCTCAGTGTTTAGAGACTGGTGGTCCATGGCAACTTTCAGTTCAGGCAAATCAAATCAAAAATAGTTTTTTTCCCTTCCTTTTATGATGAGCTACTTTTCCTACCAAATATCTTGGGGCTCAGGTTTTGAAAGAAAACAGGAATTAGGAGTGGATATATTTTCAAAAGCAGCCCCAATAGTCACAGCATTAAAAAAATAATGCTGGGGATTTTCTCTGACTGGGACTAATATAAGCCAACTCAGGCAAGCTGAGCCATTACAGATGGATACTAAAATTCCCATCCTCACTTTGAACTGCTGTTTGATGAGAAGTTGACAGCAGTCACAGTTGTTACATGAAAACAACAATTCCTTCCTGTGCCATGTATTACGCTAATTCTTGTGGTCATTCCTAAGCTAATAGAGGTTTCTTCCATGATGCTTCCTCCTCCATTTTTTGACTGTATTATTTTATATATAATTGCTATGATCCTTCATGCAAATTTTTCTCCTTGCTCATTTTTCAGAGGCAGAAGCTCTTGGGCTCCTCACTTTGATCAACCTGTCTCCTATTTGCATAAAGCATGAAGACTTTATCAAGGCATTTAGTACTGCAGATTAAAGTGATTCAAATATAATCAAAGTAAAACAAAAATCTTAGGAGATGAATACATGTGCAATATTTTCTCCTTTCCCCTTCAATTTTTTTTTTTAAGTCAGCTGTGAAAAATCACTGCTACCCTTCTAACTGGCTTGGTTGGTTTTCACAAACTAGAAACAAATTAGCTTTGATAAATCACAAAGCTGATGCTATAGCCCTTAATAGCTGAGCAATGCATTCTAATGAGATATTTGGAAAGACGTTTTGCATCAATGCTGGCTTGGGAGGTTAATCTGGTACTGAATAGTTACTGAGTTTATTATTTTTCTAGGTGATGTTAAAATCCCTGGACCTCCCACCAATGTGCATGCTTCAGAAACCAGCAGAACATATGTTGTTCTCAGTTGGGATCCACCTGTTCCTCGTGGCAAAGAGCCGTTATCATATTTCATTGAGAAGGTACCATGCCTCAGAGTTGCATCCGGCTGTAAGGCATTTCATGACTACATACTTCTTCATTTCAAACAATGTAGCAGAAAGGGAACATATAAACATGAGCAAATCCAGGGAAGGTAATAGGGATGGATGAAGAGATCCCGGGTAGGGGGGGGGGGAGTTTAGTTACATTTATGTAAATGGACACTGAAATTGAGGATCAGGGAAAAAAAAATGCTTTTTCCATAGTGAGGAACTTTGGGTAGTCTTATCTAGACCTGGCAGAAGACAAGCCCAAAGGAGCAGCACAGATGCTGAACTAGTTTAGCCTTCCTTCTGCAGAAAACCTGGCATGTGTGGAGCTACCTAAGTGGCAGATATTACAGATTGGTACTTGCTCTGATCTTACCATCCCCGAAGGTAGATAAATTGGTCAAATCTTCCCCAACCTAAGTAAAATCTCCCTCAAGACAAACTGAAGTCCTGGCGGCTAGAACACATCCATGTTATTTTCTAGGCAACATTATGAGAAAGTGGTGCCCTTGATGCTTCCTGGGATGTTTTTTTTTTTTTTTTTTACTTTCCAATCTAGTTTACAGCCATGAGATTTTCTGACGATCTCCAACTGAAATACTAACCATGTTTGATAGCTTGCATAGCTTTGGGGGGTTTAGCCAAGGACAGCTTGGTGTTATCATCTAGCACAATGGGTGGCATTTGGGGAGCGTCCATCTCAATATATCTGAAGATCTGAAGGTTCTTGGAGGATGACTTAGGTTATCTTGGGACACCATCAGTCAATAGGCCAGAGTTGGTACTCACTAGTCTATTGTGCCATATGCAAAGGAGAATAAGGTTCCCCTAATTCTATAACATTAGGTGTGATAAGAAAAAGCAGTTCAGTGACTGAAGTTGCAGCACTGTACACCAGCTTTTCCTACACAAAGCCTGCTAGATATGTTGGTCTTCAAACATTATAATTCTTAGCAGCATGGCCAGCAGCATGTTATCTGAGGAATCATGGAAGCTGAAACCCCACACATTTAGAGGGCGCCAGATTTGGTAAAGCTCCTTTGATGCACTTATCTGAGAGAGAATCCCCATGCAGCTTCTATTTCTGAATAGATGTGCCTGGGATTGGCCTTGAAGGAACCAATTACATTTTATAGAATAGCCGGAATAATAAAATCATACCATTACCAGGATCAAGGAAGACTCACAATATGTTTACTTTTCAAATTGCTCTAAATGGTTTCAAGACTCAGAAATCAAAATCCCTGCTTGAATAACATCTGTTTCAGGAGTTGTGTAAAGTAGAAGAATTGCTTTATTTTTAATTGATTGTTAAGGTCAAACACAGTCACCATCTATAACAAGGTGAAAGAAAACTATATGGCGGTGTTGGATTTGGCAGGGCAGATCCATGCCCTGCCATATCATGCCTCGCAGATTACCTAGGAAAGAGAAGATTGTGTGGCTATAGTTCATTAATTCAAGTACTTTGAGGACATTTGCAGCTCTCTACATGTAGTAATGATCTCTTTCTTTTCTTTACAGTCTGTTGTTGGCAGTGGAACTTGGCAGAGGGTCAACGCTCAAGTGGCAGTCCAATCCCCTCGTTATGCAGTGTTTGATCTTGTGGAAGGGAAATCCTATGTTTTCCGAGTTTTGTCAGCCAACAAGCATGGGAGTAGTGATCCTTCTGAAATAACACCACCTATTCAAGCACAAGAAGCCATTGGTGAGGAACCTTTGGAGTTGGACTAGGGCTAGGGAGACTCAGGAGAAAATCCGTCTCCAGCTCTGGAACTCTGGCTGACTTTGGGCCAGTTGCCCACCTTCAGCCTAGCCTAACTCACAGGGTTACTATTATGGGGAAAAATGGGAGGACGATGTTATTTGCAGGGCCGGCTCCAGACATTCTGGCTCCCTAGACAAAGTCATATCCTGGCACCCACCTATGGTTTCGCTCACCTTCCGGTTTTGGTAGGAATTTCAAAAAAGTGCCCTCTTATTTCCTTTTTTCTTCAAGTTTTTGAGCTTTACACTTATGATTTTCAGTCCCAGAAATTTTTCTTTTCTTTTCTCAGACATTTTCACCTTATTTACACACTATGTAATTTTAATTACAGGTTGTCCTTGCTTAACTACCATTCATTTAGTGACCATTCAAAATTATGATGGAGCTAAAAAAGCTACTTATGACCGGTCCTTACACTTATGACCATTGCAATGCCTCCACAGTCACTTGATCACGATCCGGGTACTTGGCAACCAGCTTGCACTTATGACAGTTGCAGCATCCTGGGATCACATGATTGCCTTTGCAACCTTCCCAGACAACTTCCAGCAAGCAAAATCAATGGGGAACTGTGTGATTCACTTAACAACCATGTGACTCACTTAACTGTGGTGATTCGCTTAATGGCTGCTGCAAAAATGTTGTACAATCAGGTGTGGTCACATGATGCCTTGCTTAACAACCGCCCCACTTAATGACAAATTTTCTGGTCCCTATTGTAGTTGTTAAGAAAGGACTATCTGTACATCAGCACCCATTGTTGTCATATGGCAACAATTCTGTGAAATTGTATTTAACCCTTGAGCAGGGACACTGGCTCATGGAGTATGCTGTTACTGCTTTTTGCTTTTTTATTGTGTTTTTCAGAAGTGTTTTCAATTTTGGCGCCCCCTAAAATTTGGCACCCATAGGCCGATGCCTACTCAACCTTAGCCTGGTTATTTGTATACTGTCTGACATTTTGGGAGGAAGGCAGCATACAAATCTGTCAAATAAATAAAAATGAACTTAAAATATGGCGTAGATGGAAAATCACCTGGTGGCCAAGGCGAGGCAGCTTGATCATTTTTGAAGGGACAAAATTGGGCATGACAGTGGTGTAAAGTGGGTGGGACATAATTTTCCAGCTTCTGTTTGAAGAATTTTGCGGTTTTCCTTATTTCCTTAAACTCTTCTAAACTTATCTTTGCTTATAATGCAGTTTTTATGGGTTTTTGCACTCAAAATGGCTATAAACTATGTCTGGTTTCCAGCAATAGCTATCAAAGGGGGTTCCAGAAACTATGATAAGGGGAGTAGGGTTGCATTTCACCCTGAGCCCTCAGAATGCATAGCCCTGGTATAGAACAACAAACAATGCTAAAAAAAAAGGCTTAGTGAGAATTAATTTAGTAATGTCCAACTTCGTGTTTGGCAACATAAAAATGACTGTGATACTTTGAGATAACTTGTCAAAGTTCAGAGTAAGAACCATGGCCGTAGTATTTCCTAGGAACTATTACTTTTCAAAGCACACCCATCTGACTTGCTTTGACTTGTGCCATATAATGGTGTTTCTCAGGGATTTTGATTAGCATTTCTACAAATTTGTTTTAACATCTTGTCGAAGAACTCTTCTTGTTTAAATGTTTAGAATCAAGACATTAGTCATTAGTATAGCTGAAGAATGCTAGAAAATGTCCAATTCTGACAATTCAAAAATGGGTCCTAATTTGTGTGAGTGCACACTATCACAGTGGGGTTGAGGACTGTGGGGAAGGAGATGTTAGCTCCAGAGTTGTCTCAGGCATCAGCACTTTTGAAACCCAGAGGATGGGTTTCAGTCCCAGCTGCTACTGAAATAGGTATTAGTTGTCATGGAGAGGCTCCATCTTCTCCCTGATTTTTCTTGTGTGCAAACAGAGGCAGATCCCAGTAAATGAGGGAGGAATTTTAATGAGCCTTTTCTCCCCAAGGTCAGCCTTGTGAATTTCTCAAAAGGTCACATTTACATGCTGTATATTCTAGAGTGATACCTGACTTATTTCCAACTTGGAAATCCCTGGACCAACTAATAGTTCAGGAACCAAGAACTTTTTCTGAAAATGACATCCCTTTTTTAGAAATGTTTAGACCAGTACAGCAATTAAAGAGAGTTCTTTCTTGTTTAGGGAATTAAACTAATCAATATATGAGCATTTACCAAGAGACTTTTTATCATCTACTGATGAGTAAAGACTACACACAGGTACAAAATGGAGAACAGACAGATCATCTTGCAATATGTGATCTGTGATAACAATATGGATTTTAGGGCAAGAACATTCTCTGTGGAATGATCTGGGCATTAATAATGAATAATTTTCAACTTTCAGCACATTCATAATTTCCATTCAAATTAATAGGACTAAAAATGCTTTGCTTTGGCTGCATTGCATTGCATGAGAGCCAGTTTGGTGTAGTGGGGAAGGTGCTGGCCTAGAAACCAGGAGACAGTGAGTTCTAGGCCTCCCTTAGGCATGAAAGCCGGCTGGGTGACCTTGGGACAGTCGCTTTTTCTCAGCCCAACCCACCTCTTAGGGTTGTGGTTGTGGGGACAATAGGAGGCAGGAGTATTAGGTATGTTCACTGCCTTGAGTTTATTTATTTACACACACACACACACGAATGATATTATTCTGAACTTCAGCCATGATATCCTCTTCTAATATTTGCCAGTAAAATCACATTTAGACTTGAGAAAATATGGTCATATACTGATGTGTTAATTGTTATGGAGATACTAAGTGCTTTTCTTTGTGCCACAGTGGTGCCATCGGCCCCTGGATCTGTTGTGGCAACAACAAACACAAAAACCTCTGTTATTGTGAACTGGGACAAGCCAAAACATGAAGAAGGTCTGATTGGCTATTACACTGATTATTCTGTGGTAGGATCAAATCACTGGGAACCCTGTAACCATAAGCCAATCAAGTATAACAGGTAAAAGAAATATTACATTTTTAAAGAAATGCCTGCTTTTCTTCACATGCATGTGTGGATTTTGGTTAGTCATTTCTACAAGCATGGGCTACTGTACATTTGGAAGAGAGCTTTAGCTCAGACAGTTCTCCCGAACATGTATTTTTCAGCAATTTTTATATGCATTGCATTGAAATAAGCTTTCAAAAATGATAAAAAGCAACTCCTTACTCTTTCTCCTTGCTTTTCTGGGCATGATGCTGAAAAATGCCCACTGATTTGCCCTTGTAGTGTGGCAAAACTAAGTTGCCACTGTTGTGGAATGTCCAGAGACTTTCCTGGGAAAGATTTCCTCATTGCTGTCTTTGGTGATACACTAGGCTGGGCAAGTGATATTGGCAAAGGTTGGTCTCTTCTGGACAGGATTGTGGTTGTGTTAGGATTGTAACTTGTTGGCTAGTTAGCAAAGGCAGTAGAAGGAAGGGACAGAAGCTGATACAAGAAAATGGTAATCTTACCTTTGTTACCTTCCCATTTTTAAAAGCAGCCAATGTTTACTTGTTGTAGAGGGAGTAATCCTGCTGAATTTAAAAGTCAGTTTTGATCCATGAGTGAGGGCCTGACTATCAGCTGTGAGGTCATACTCAGAGTGCTGAGGGCTGAGCAGCACAGATGTAATCATCCTGTCAGCACAAGAGAGAGCAAAATTTAGTCTTATGGCTGGCCCCATTCAAGAAGTTGACTGCTGAGAAAGGGAATGAAAGCCCAGGTAATGTAAGCCTTGCCACCCAGAAGAGCTATGATAGATTGAGGTTTCATGGGGTATGCAACTCATTGGCTGATTACTCATGTTGATTTTGGAGGGTCCAAAACACCATTCGGTGCCCCCCTCAGTGTTCTCCATACATGGAAGGGAAGTTGCAACATTACATATTGTCTGTAACAACCTCAGTAGAAAAACCATCAAATCCACAAAACACTTCAGAGGACCGTGAAGCACTTTGCGGGCACCTGATTTAATTTCCTGCTTCAAAGTGGAGCTTTGTTTTGATTTGTGAACCTGCTTCAAAGCTTTGCACAGCTGAACAGATACAACAGTTTTGGCTGGGCAATAAGGCCAGGCAAATCTGCTGAAGCTTGCAGGGGAAAAAAGGGTTTATATTTGACAAGAACATTGCTGTATTTGTCAGAAATCTTGATGGAAAAAATTATGAAAGGCTGACCTCAAATACCTAATTCGTTGAGCATTCTTTGTCCAAGAGTTATCATAGGGAGAATTTTGGCCAGTTTGGTACCAGTGTAAGTTTTGCCACAGAGTTTATTTTGATATTTTGGGGCGGGGGGGGGGGGGGGAAGCACACCCAACTTTGCATGCCAGAAAGCAGAAGTATCTGTTGATTATGGAAGTTACTGCCCACAGAGACCTTTGCTGCTTCTTACAACTTCCTGAAGCCTCTGACTGACTAGAATAAAAGGGGTTATCTGGCCCCTGAGATGCTTACCTTTGTTCTACCACTTTCTTTGATGAGAACAGGGTGAGGAGCGATATCTCCTTCTTGGCTTCCCCATTCTGTCTGTCAAACGTAATCTGGCCAGCTTGCATAGCCTTGTAGAACTGTCTTAGCTACTCCCAAGGCATGTGGGTCTTCTGGACAGAAAGCTGTGGCTGTGCTGCTGAGAAGAGTCAACTGCACTATGGCTGAGTTGGTGTAGTAGTGGGGCTAAGTCAATTCTAAAAGGGTCTCCCATTCATCTTCTTGTGGACCAATATAGCCTTAATTCAGATGACCTACAGGACATGTCATTCATTCCAGCCTGGCTTTCCAGTTTTACAGCTGTGTGTTTGGTCTCCAGACTAGATCACCAATATTTTGCTGTAACTTATAGAATGCATTGCAGCAAGCCATTGGATATCATCTGGGTAGTATTAAGACACCAGCATAAATTTATGGCAGGAGAATGGATCAGTCCTCAGGTTTTGGTATTTTGCCATGTTCTTCTGATTCTCTGGGCATAGTCTTAGTTGTTTATCTCCTGTCTGTCTGTCTCATCAGTTAACTTGTATACTGCAGCTTGTGGCTGTTTCTTAAGCCAACTTCAAAAATTACAGTGCAGATTTCAGTAGGTTGGCAACAGGGCTGGTTGGACATTCCCCTGCTTCTTGCCCTTCCCATCCATGCAGGGAAGGCAAGTTTCACTGGCTAGCTTCTGTGTGGACCAGTCTACCTTTTCTTTGTAAGGATTGTTTGCTCCTCACTGGTCCCCATGCCTTTCACAGAGGTTTGCACACATAGATGCCTTCGCACCCTCTTCTCATATATCTCCTTTGACACTGATGCCAGCCCCTTTCTTTTTCCTTTCCCCCCCTTATGGTACCATCATTGCTCTGATGTCACAATGATCAAAGCAATAGGGAACAGGTTGTTCTTTCATTCCTATGTAGGTCCATGGAAACTTTGGGAAGGAAGGAAGAACTGATAGTTCAGCTTCCCAGAAGCAAAGAAGCAATGTTTTTCCACACTGCCATTTTAAAATGTTTTTTTTAAAAAAGGAAAGATAAGAAAAACTTTGCAGTCCTTGGTGGGGAAGTAAAGGGTGCATGCTTCACCCAGCCTGGGCAGAAACCAAAGGTTTTCCACTGAGAGATATAAGGGGTGAATGGAGCAAGAGCTTCTATGTCAGGGGTCCTCAAAGTACAGTCTGCGGGCCGGATACAGCCCACCAGGGTCATTTATCCGGCCCGCCCGCCCG